GATGTCATTTTTAAAAGGCATGCACCTGGTGGCTGGTGCATCTAAGGACATGCTTGCGCTAAAGAAAGCAATTTATGCATGCTCTCCTTGTAAGTTTCATAGTTAGAAACTCTTTATGTTCTAATGTGCTTCATACATTTGTAATGATCTATTAACATCTAACATCACACCAGCAACTTTAAGTGATGCAACTCGGAACAAACAAACACATCAAGAGTTTCATAGGCTTGATGAAACTTTAGCTTTCCGTGATTTTGAAATTAAGGAGGTTTTGGTCAGTTGGTTTGGGGTTTGCTTGTATAAAACATTGGGGTTAATGTTTGTTTGAGTCTCTGATCCAAGTTTTCCTGATTATAATATTTTCCCTCGATTTATTTTTTATTTTATAATCAAAAAATACCTCCATATCATGACCTCAATTTTACCATTATATAGAATTAAAGTACCTTAATTTTCTCCCATAATTTGGAAATTCATATTGCCAGCAAAAAGATTAATATAGACTACTGATCAAAAGAAGAAGATTAATAAATATAGATTAAATGAATATAAGCATTGACATCTTCTAGTTAATTGCACTACTGCAGATAAGATGATAGCTGTCTGATCTCTAACAAGATTGAGTCAAACAGCAGCCATTTTTTCACTCACCTCCATGGTCAGCAGCCATAGAGAACTGAGAAGATATAGTCCACCCGAGCCAAGCATCCATTGCAAATACAGAAAAGGTGGCTACCCCCATTTTCGGTTGATTTGAATGTTGGTTCAAGTCACATTCAAGGTGGCTACTCTCAGACTTGAATGTGGGTTGGCCTGAGCTAACAGTTTACACTGCTTTGGGCTCGGGCTTCAGGTTGGGCCCAATGAAATTTTAACAAAATTCCAACCCTAACCCGCAAAAGTTGCACCCCTAAAAGAAATGGAAATTGAGAGGTTGGTCATTGAAGGTGACTTGAAAACAGTTGTGGGTTGGCTGAAAATGAAGGAAAGGGTAAATTGGCAATTAAGAAATGAGTTCAGACGCTTCAAATGGCTGTATAAAGACATGGTGATAACAGTATGGCTGATGGTTTAACTAAGCAAAGGATTCATAGACTATGCTTTGAGCTTATTTGTAATACTTGGGATGGTTTAGCTCCCTTGGTCTTGTTTCTTGTCACAACTTCTTGTTGTGTCTCTCAATTTCTAATTTAACGAATTAATCTTTGTGTTGCTGATCCAAAAAAAAAAAAAAAAAACTTGATCTTAGAAGAGCTATAGTGTTCATCCATAAATATCCATTTAAAAACTTGTTTTAAATTATGAACGGAATTTGAATTTCTACTTGCAATTTTGCGGATTGGAGATGACTAGAAGTCTTAAAGGTGCTAACTCCATCCAGGGTAAGGCTGCAAATGAATTGAATTGAATCGATATAGGTAGATCCAAATTTGATTCATTTATATTCAAATTCAAATCAAATCTTATCAATCGGATTTATGTCAAATTCAAATCGAATATGGATTGTGAAAACTTACAGGTGTTGTAAATGGTCTTCGATGCATGTAACCAAACCATGTTAGTCTATTTTTTCTCATTTTATCACCTATTGGAGCTGTTCTTAGGATCCTCTGAATGACTTCATTTCTGATCCTATCCTTTCTTGTTTTTCCATTCAACCATCTCAGCATACGCATATCAGCCACACTCATTTTGTAGACATGCTTTTTCTTGACTGCCTAAGAGTCCATTCAGTGCAGCATAGTTGGCTAGCCTTACAACTGTTTTATAGAATTTTCCTTTTAATCTATGTGGTATTTTCCTGTCACATAGAACTCCGGATGCACCATTCCATTTTGCCCATTCTCTGATCCTATGGATGACATCCTCCTAAATTTCTCATTTATCATGAACATACCTAGTTAATTCATCTATAATTAGCACAAATAAATTAGGGCTGACTGGCTAAGTGCTAAAGATCCATTATAATCCGATTCAGTTCAATTTAAATACATATACCCATACATACTTGCACTAACCAGTGATCACCCTTTAATAGGATCCAATTCAAATTCAAACTCAGACAATCGGTACTGTTTGCAGCCCTAATCCTCCAATAGCCATTGCTTGGTGTAGTGGTAAAGTCTTGTGCTGACAAGTATAAATGTGGGTTCAAGTCTGAGAGTAGCCAGTTAGCCACATTGTGCTAAAGGTCCGAGGTCAAAGCCTAAAGAACCTAATGGTTCTCATTCCATTAGGTGCTAACTCTTAACTTTGTCCTACAACAGTTTATTCATCTGTTTAACCTTACTTGCTCTTTGTTACTAATGCCAGATTTGTTTTTCTTTCACCTCAGTAGTCTTACTTCTTTCTCCACTGCTAATGGACCATCCTAGTTCTCTTAATTTATTCTCTAACAGTTTAATTATATTTTTATCAGTCTATTATCCCCTCAGTATTCCCCCTTTGTTTTCTATGTTCCATACTTGCTAAGGTCACGCCTAGGTGACACCTAGGCAACAAGACGTCCGTAATGTCACCTTGCCTAATCAACAAGAAGATTTGCACATGGTTTTATGAAATACTTATATATTCTTAATTGATCAAAATAAAATACTTATATATTCTTAAATTTTTTAGATTATGATATAGACATTATAAAACTAAAATATTATTTTGTATGTTTATATACAAGTTTCTTTTTTATCATTTTCTTATTTGTTAGGATTTAATGAACACACACATTGTTATGATGTCTTGAACCCTCAAAGATTTCAAAAGCTGAACCAGTAAAATTTTCTTCCTTATATTGTTTTCCTATAAAAAATAGTGGTTCAGGCCATATATTTTCTGAATTTTCTTCTCTTTATTTTTTCTTCTCATGCATGTGTTGATTTTCTATATAAGTTTATACTTTTCTTGAAAATTATGGATGATTATTAAAGAAACATGGTTGCTAGTTGCAATAGAACCTAGGGAATTACCCTAGGATATATTATTTTTACTTGAAAATAACCACTGGCCTAGTCAACCAGATGATAAGGCACCCCCTGTTGCCTAGCCTCACCTTGGCGCCTTGAAAACTGTCATATTCCTAGGTTTCTGCAGTTTCTTAGAAAAGTAGAGATCACATCCTTATTGTTTAAAACTCCATAACCTTGCCAAACCTCCAACCAGTCATTCCCAATTGTTCACCCAAACCGCGGGTTATAGAACCTATATTATTTTTTCACCCACCAGACATGTTTCTTTTTGTTTTTATGTTTTTTAGATTCTCCTTGATTCTGCACAATCCTACTGGTCGTTAAACTAAGAACCCATTTGGGAGGGTTGAAGCTTCAATTAAGCTGCTTTGGAGAAGCCACTAAAAGAGGCTTCAGCGGAAATCCCTATTTCTAGCTGAAAGACAACTATTTTGGACTTTCTGGGGTTCTTATCAAACATAGTTTATGGGCTGTCCAGGTGGGGCTCACCTCATAAAGCCAGAAGCCACTACCTGAAAGCCTTCCCAAATAAGCACTAAACAAGCTAAGACCTTGTATCATACTTCCAAGCAATGTTTTAAAACGCAGAGGCGTAACGTGAGGCATTCTACTACCTAGAGGCATGAGGCATAGTTCAGAAGGCAAGAGGCATAAGCCTCCCGAACACAAGGAGGCGTAAGCCTCCTTAAGAGGAGGGGGGTTAGGAGGAAGGAGGAGAAGGGGAGGAGGATGAAGAGGAAGGGGAATCTCATTTTTTTCTTTTTTTTTAATAAAAGTCTTTTATATTAAGAAGATTAAAGATGCATAACATTAATTGAAAGAGGGGCATTCATCAAAAATAAAATAAAACATTAATTGAAAGGGGCAGGGGGAAAACCACTTTCTTTCCCATTATCTTTTCTTCCTTTCCCTTTCCCTTTTCTTCTCTTTCTTTTTCTTTCCCTTCCCTTTCTTTTCCTTTCCTTTTTTTCTTTTTTCTTTTTTTCCGTCTCTTTATATAAGATGTGCATGAGGTGCATGAGGCATACGCCTCAGAGGTGTCAGCGCCATGGCATATCACATATGCCTCAGGGCATTTTGGGAGCGTCTTGCCTAGAGGTACGCCTCCCATGCCTTTTAAAACACTGCTTCCAAGTTAATAAAATCATCCAGCCACAAATATTGGTTTTTGTTTTGGGGGGAGGGGTTCTGCTATTGTCCAGTCCACTAAAGAATCACAAAATTGTGCCTCATGTTACTAAAACCCAACAAAGAACTCCAATTTCCCAATTGAGGTTTTACATTCTTTAGTAGAAAGATTTTAGTCATCAATGGAAATGTGAGAGGAGAGATTGGGATGTAGAGTTTAGTTAAAAGTAATTAATAATAACTAGGATATACAGAGCAATTATCAAAAAAAACTAGGATATACAGAGTCTTTCCAAATAGAGATGCAAGCATATTTTGGATCTTCAATGGACACAATGATGGGGATAACCAAGTCTGAGACACAGAGGTGTTTACTCTTCTTTCTCAAAGCAAGGTTTCCAAGTAATCTCAATAGAATTCCTTGGCCATTTAAGGGGTGTTTTTTTTTATAAATCATTGAAGGGGTGTTCTAGAAATGCTATAATCATATATAAATAAAAGATTGGGATGGGATCAGAGAACTACCTCAAAAAAGCTTCTGAAACTTTGGCCATCATATCAATACAAATTGGGTGGGTTGAGGGGTGAATTCAATTATGGATTGGTTGGTTAGATTGGGTGTGGGAAGATTTCCCACAATAGTAAAGATCAATACCTAACTAGTTTTTTTTTTTTGTTGAAGGGTCAAGTTGAATGATCATAGTCTTCTTTATACACCACCACAATTTTTTTGGTCTTTCCAGGAAAAAAAGCCTAATTCCAATCATTGCTTTCCTCAAATAACTGAAGGCTCACTTTTTATAACTAAAATAGCATTCATTGAAACTGAAAAAAGAGAAAGCTCTTACAAAACAGACATCTTAAAATGAAATGATCTTACAAAACTTAAAGACAAGTGGCATCTCTTACCGAAGTTTTAGGCATCGAAGGTGTCATTGGTATTAACTGCCTAGATTGTTTGATAGCCAATTCCTCAAGCCTTTGAGTTTCAACCGATAACTACAAGCAAACAACAAAGGATACTAAAGCCAACAGAACAACTAAAATAAAGACATTAGCAACAGAAGGAGAAATGCAGTTACCTGGGGAGATATGCGAGTCCGTGAAGGAGCTTGAGCCAATGTTTCAGCCATATTAAGACCAGTAGATGAGTTTGGTGCCCCAGAGGTTGAACTAGCTGGAGTAGCTTGTTGAACAGATGATGGACCAATGCTATTGTTCCCAATTATCACAGGCACCTCTGCCAATGCTGAAGTCCAGCCATCGCCCCCAATAACAGCTGAACTACCTATTGGCAAGCTCTGAACTGATGAGCTCAGGCCAGGTGATGATACTCTTCCTATATCCAGTGCTCCTTGTTTCTCTTCTGCTCCAAGTGAGGGGAAGTCCCTTTCAAATGCAGCTTTTTGGATGCTGCTAACAATGCTTCCTCCAACAAGCAAGCCATTGCCATTGTTGTGATTGTTGTTGCCATTGTTTGTATCAGCTGCTACTCTTCTCGACCATCCCTCACCTCGTTTGCCCGATATCATTGACTGTGAACGCCTTAATGTATCCTTCTCAAYCCTACTTGTCAGAATGCTTGCCAAAGGATCAGAATAATCACGATCCCTGTGATCCCCCAGTATAGACTTCTCTTTATCACGATAGTCAAGGGTATCCTTTTCCCAGTCCCTATCACGGTGACTCCTAGTAAAACTACTGTAAGACCGCGAATAGGTGGATGTCTCCTTATCATGCATCATAGAACCATTACTGCTTGAACTCCTACGGAAGTAAGCTGAAGAGGTCCTATCCAAAAAGGCAGAAGATCGAGGTGTATCATAATCACCAGTGCTCATAGTCAATCTGTTTCTTGTGGTAAGTGCAACAGCATGATCATCTACAAAAGGGAAAAAACACCATAAAAATTGTTGAATATGAAGCATCTTATAAAGATCATGGAAGCTGGAAGAGCATAACAAAATGGCATAGAAATTAAAAATACCTGAGTGTGTGGAAGATGATGCAAAATGGTGGGTTGTATTGCCACCCCCAGTTATGCTTCCTGTACCTTTCAACCATTCTGGAACTAATGTGGGTTCACCTTTTGCCATTACGGGTATTAAACATGATCAGAGACAAAAGTAGCAATATATGTTCCAATGTGCTTAACCCTTGCCGTTTATCCTCTTGACTCCATCCAATGTTTATCAGTAAAATTGTTATCTGTACAGAACTAATCGAGTCTAACCCTAGTCTTTAGTTTCTCAAACTATAGCTCTTCCTTCACATACGAACCCAATATAACTAAACACTGCTTCAGTCAATCAATTGAAAAACGAAAAAAAAAAGTTTGAACGCTTCAGTCCTGCTAATGCACTCACAGATGAAAAATGAATCCACCAGCTCCTGTACAATATGGAAAAACAATCTCCAATAAGACAAACGACCTATGAACCCAAATACAACCGGGGTTCCTTTCCGCTCTCTGTACACTACAGGATCAGCAAAGCCCAAATCAAAAAAAATGCAATTTTTTGCGCCTTTAAGCCACTAAGGAAAGCCAGAGGAAGGAAAAACAACGATGGACAGAATACTACATAGAAGACGAATAAGAGGAGCAACAAGAAAGGCTTCTCTACGCCTCCATCTTCAAGAAGAGATGGATTTGCAGTCGGCCAAAACACACTCAGATGACCCCCATCACTACACCGACCCGAAATCAATATGCCGAAAGCAACCTACCCCTTCGCAAATAATGAAGGAAACGCAATGCCTCTGGAATAAGAATTCGAACCCATTACAGCAAACGCAGGGAAACACCAAACCCTAGAATTAGAGAAACCCTAGACACCAATACAATGACGAGGAGACCCAAACCATCCAAAAACAAGGAAACCCTCGAATGAAAGTGCCTATGACTAGGGTTTGCAGTTCGCAGAGGATAGAAAGCCAGGAATTAGAACAAATATCCGAGGAAAAAGCAAGTGCAGAAACAGAGATGAGGAACGAGAACTAACTAACCCTTGCGTCTTAAAGATTGACGGAAAACACGAGGCCAGGTCGTTTCTGCGCCGGCAATCCCAACCACATGATCCAACCTGAGAAACCCTAACCGTTCGATCAACCGCCGGCTGTATTCCAATGCTAAGTGGTCGTTTGAAGGAATCCAAATGCGAGAAAGAGAACACGAAGAGTTTGGGGGACGGAAGGAGAGTGTATGGAATCGCTTTTGATGGGAATTGAAGTCCGAGAGGGACAAAGAGTCTTTTCGGTCTTATGAGCGATTTGAGCGAAAAACAGAGAGGGAATGGAGAGAGAAGAAAGCACACGCTTCGGTCGCCGCCGTGAAGGGAAATAGTGAGGGATAGAGGGTTTTATCTGAGTCCGAGAGAGAAGAGAAGGATTTTTTTTTTTTTTTTTGTGTTGTTTTGGGTTGCTGAAACAAAACGTATGAAGAAGAGCCTCTCTTTGCTACAACTGAGAAAACCTATTTTTTATGAAATTTTCTTTCCTTGTTTCTTGCCTTCAAAATTCCCCATGCTCAACGAACTTGCCTCTTTTGTGGTTGGTTTTGCTAGACACTATATGAAAACAGAAGCCACAAATACTCAATGGTAGACAGATATTTGGGTCTAGAGGTCTGTTCTCACTCTTAGGTCAAACTCTGCCTACACTGGGCAGAAGGAGCCTGGTAACTGCTAAGCATGAGTGAGAAACTACTCTTGATATGAGCTTCAAAATAAACAGAAACCCCATATGAAAAACCCAAAAGGCCAAACATGTGTGTGTATATATATGAGCTTCAAAATAAACTTTTAAGTGAAACTACTCTTGATAACCTCTCAAAAGGTGGCCATCAATTAGGTTTTTTTTTCAAACCGAACCGGTGGTACTGGTTTTCGGAAAACTGATAATCAAAGTCGAACTGAAGTCGATCAATTCGGTTAACCACCAGTTCAGTTCATCAATTTTTCAATTTTCATAGTATTATATATAATAAATATAAAATATTATACTATATTATAAAAAGACTAAAATACATATAAAATATTATATTATAAATAATAAATAATGTATATATTTATAATATATATTACATATATATATTCATTTATAATATATCGATAATATAAAATGTATATAATATACATAAATATAATATATATGTATATCAGTCAGTTCGGTTAATCGATACCTTCGATTTTTCCAAAATACTGAACTGATCGACTTCGTTAGCCAGAATTTTCAGTTCAATTTCATCTGCCCGTTTTGGTTTTTTGGTTTTTCTTGTTCACCCCTACTATATATCAATGCTTAAACCCTCCTAAATGGACTATGGCTCAAAGGCAGACCTTATGGGGATTTTAGGGCTTGTTTGATTCATGTGAATAGGGGCCTAGATTCTAATGCATTTTTTGGCTTTATGGTCATTGCTTCATGGATGCAACTTCTTTATTAAATGAATGTGTTTATTTCTTGTTATTACAATTGAAAATTAAGTCAAAATGATGGTATTAGTCTTCTAATTATAGATTTTGACTTGTAATTCATTTTTATAAATAATTTTTGTGAATATTATATTTGTAGAGTGGTATACTTATTTTTCAAGGTGCAAAGGGCTTGATGTATTAGGAGACTTCACAAATGCAAATTATGTTCCATATATTAATGGCATAGAAAACACTTTCCCTTGGAATAGTTGGTTAAAACTTTACATAGGTAGTTCTTGGAAGGCTATATAAACAAGTTTCATATCAATTAATTCATGGTTCCATACTTTTTTTAAACTAGCCATATTAACTAAATGGTGTATTTGGTTCCTTTCCCAAACATTTCTTTCAAACCAAACACAACCTAAAGTTTTCAATTAAATATTGGCATATAGAGAATTCAATAATGTTTGACACACTTTTTAATTACTTAGGGAAAAGCTATTTCTAGATATTAGAAGTAGTTTGATGACACCATTTTATCTAACCTCCGAACCCCAAAATCCCATTGATTCATCCCCCCACCCATCTCCCCACTTTTAAACAAAGTTACACATGTAATTACAACTCGTTCCAACACCTTATGAATACAAAATTTATAGGGTTCGACTATAGTGCTGGAAAGACATGATACTAGAAAAACTTACAACCAATCAACTAACACCATAAAAGTAGGAATCAATCAGGTGGGTTTTACCAAAATCCATAAGAGATTGTAATTGCTCAAAGCCTTTCTAGTATCATGTCTTCCCAGCATCATAGATTTTCCCAAAAGTTTATCATATTTTAAATTTTATTTAAAATAATGAAAAATACATAAAATAAACTACTCCAAAAATGCAATGTTTGAAGAAGATCAAACAAACAAATTTGTAACAAGACACAATATTATTGAACAAAGTTCCAATAGAAAGACAAATACAAACAAATGTTAAACAGGGATTATAAGAGACAATGGATATCTGTAGTGAGAATGGGCCGAATGGGCTTTAGTGTTCTTTATTTCTTTTAAGTAATATTTAAAAGTTATGTTTCTTAATTATGGGCCTTATGGGCCTTCTTTTATTTTCTTTAATTATTTCTTTAGTGCTAGCTGCCCAATAAGGGCATCTAAGTAATTGTACTCAAACTTAGAATTATTAATAAAAGTGATGAAAGGGGGCTAGAGAGAGGTTCGAATTCTTCTTTTTCTCTCTTCCCTTCTTTTATTCTTCCACAACCTATTGCTGAAACTTCTTTCTCTTTCTCTTTTTTCATCTTTTCTTGCATTATCTGAACTATTGTAAGTGTAATTTTCAACTTAGTATCATAGCGAGTTCTCACTTTCGACTTTTTTCTCCTTTATTTTCCCATACACAGTGTGTATGGAGAACTGACCAGTTAATCAACCAGCTACTTCTACAACCCAATTACGAAAGTTTTTGGAGAGCTTTGTGGAGGTTTTTCATCCTTAGTTGAAGCCCAGGGCTAGTTCTTGGAGATTTTTCACGACAACCCTAAATATCTAGAGAAAACTTGTTAGAAGTCGTAAAGACAATTTGAACTAGGTGCTTAGGGATTAGAAGTAAGCCTTTTGATTTCTACTTGGGCGGTTTTGGTTGGATTGAATTCTATAACCTCTAGAAGGGGCAATTGAAGTTTCTCTCTTTCTCCCCATCCCATAGGACCCTGTGAAACACTAATTTTGGGGGGTTGAAAGGTTGTTCTTTGCTTATAACAATAAATCTAGCCTAGTAAAGCCCTAATTTGATTTTTGTTTGCATCCATTTACTCAATGGAGCAAACTGGAGGAGAGACCAAATATTCCATAGATTCTAGGTTTGGACATGGGGAGTCAATGGAGAACTAGTGGAGGGGGCCTTGCATTATAGGGGCTCGCTCATAAACTATTAGGCTCGAGCTCGATTCGAATTAGAGACTTGAGCTTGAGCTCAAGCTCGACTCAAATCAAAAGCTCGGAAGTTCAAGATCAGCTACCTTTGGTTGTAGGTCTCTCAAGCAGCCGAGGTCTCCCTCAGCTGCTAAAGTGTCGAGCCGAGGTGTCGAACTAAGGTCTCCCTTAGTTGAAAAGGTGCTGAGTTGAGGTCTCCCTCAGTTGTCGAGGTGTTGAGCCGAGATCTCCCTCAGTGACCAAGGTGCCAAGCCGAGGTCTCCCTCAGTGGCCGAGGTGTCGTCTAGCTCAAGTTGAATTCGAATTAGAGACTTGACCTTGAGCTCAAAAGTTCGAGCTTGGCTCAACTCGAACTTGACTACCTTTGATTATAGGTCATCTAGCAGTCCAGATGCCGAGCTGAGGTCTCCCTCAGTTGGACAGAGAGTGGCATTCTTGTAATTTATAAGGAGAGAGAGAGAGAGATAGAGAGATGGCATTCTTGTAGGGGACCCTGTGTTGCAGGGGCTCACTTATAAACTATTAGGTTTGAGCTCGATTCGAATTAGAGACTTGAGCTTGAGCTCGAGCTCAGCTCAAATCAAAAGCTTGAAAGTTAGAGCTCAGCTACCTTTGATTGTAGGTCTCTTATGCAACCGAGGTTCTGGGCCGAGGTCTCCCTCAACTGCTGAAGTGTTGAGATGAGGTTTCCCTAGCAGGCAAGGTGTCGAGCTAAGGTCCCCCTTAGTTGACAAGGTGTCGAGCTGAGGTCTCCCTCAATTGTCAAAGTGCTGAGTTGAAATCTCCCTTTGTGACCGAAGTGCTGAGCCGAGGTCTCCCTTAGTGGTCGAGGTGTCGTCTAGCTCAAGCTCGATTCAAATTAGAGACTTGAGCTTGACTCGAACTTGATTACCTTTGATTGCAAGTCCCCTAGCAGCTAAGATGCCGAGCTGAGGTCTCCCTCAGTTGGAGAGAGAGTGGCATTCTTATAATTTATAAGGAGAGAGAGAGAGAGAGCATGAGAGAGAGAGCATGACATTCTTGTAATTTGTTAGAAAAAGAGAGAGAGTTGGTAGGAGAGAGTGACATTCACGTAATTTGAAAGAAAAAAAGGCAAAATTGAGAGAGTTGGTAGAGAGTGGCATTCTTGTAATTTTTATGAAAAAAAGGTAAAAAATATTGTTATATTCCATTTCCCTCATCCTCAGGCCTTCTTACGTACACATTTCAGCTTAATATATTTATATAGATCTCTTTGGGGTTGTAACTAATGTGAAGCTAGATTTGACCATTTATTCAACTTGGTTTCAATCTATTAAGATGCATGTGTAATAGTGGAAAATAGGGTTATATTACCAGGAGCAAGAAGAAACCAGAGGAGAAGGATCATACCTATGAAAGGTGGGTGTAGGAAAACTACACAGTGGTGGGTTGGTTAGTGAATTCTATGCAACCACACATTAGTTAGCATTGTTTATGGATGGAAACTGCAAAAGAAGTGAGGGATAGTGTCATAGAGACCTATTCCTAAAAGGTTAATTTTGTTTGGGCCTACAAATTGAAACATGATGTGAATAATCTTAGACAAGGGGAGAAGCCCATAACAGTCTACTTCTTTATGCTGAAATCTCTTTGGTAAGAGATTGATCTGATGGAGAGTGTTGTTTAGAGTTGCATAAAAGATGTAAAAACATATAGGAGGTTGGTGGAGATAAATCGGGTCTTTGAGTTCCTCATCAGACTCAATTCGGAGTATGATATTGTGAGTCAGATGTTTTAACAAAGGATGAGGTGACTTTGTCTCAGGAATATGCTATGGTGAGCAATAAGGAGAGCAAAAGACACATTCAATTTGTTGAGCCATAGGTTGATCACTATGCTAATGTTGGGATGAAGCTGAAGGTTAGCACTAGGAAAAAAGATATTATTTGTGAATATTGCAATAAGCCTAAACACACAAAAGACACTTTTTGGAAGCTGCATCCAGAGATCGTTCTAGAATGATTCAAGAAAGAAAATAATGGAAAAAGGGTTGAAATTTGAAATGTGAAAATGTAAATGTAGCCACCTCTTCACAAGGTGCTCCCTTAGGTATTCGTGCCACTATACATCATGCTTCTATCTCAGGTTCAAATAAAACCCCTTGAATAATTGATTTTGGTGCTTCTGACCATATGACTAGTGTTTCATAAGTATTCACCCCTTACCAACTTCTTTCTAGCCAGGATAAGATATCCCTTGTTGATGGCTCCCTAGCCCCTATTACGAGAAAAGG